GTGGTCGTGATGATGCTGATGTTGGTGGTCGTGATGATGCTGATGTTGGTGGTCGCGTGATGATGGTCGTGTTGGTGGTCGTGATGGTCGTGATGATGCTGATGTTGGTGGTCGTGATGATGCTGATGTTGGTGGTCGTGATGATGCTGATGTTGGCACCAATGATGGTGGGAAGAATCATGAAGAGGGGTGTCTAAAATAATTTTGATCCAAACAATTTCTAATTTATAAAGAGAACTAGCCTCCCTTTACAGCTGTGGCCCCTTTTGGCCTCCGACTACTGTGATCTGTCCGTTTTCTAACGTGAACTAATTTGATGCATGTTTTGAAATTTTGTAAATAAATATGGAAGTTTATATCCAGGCAATACTGGCTCAACTCAGAAAGTAGTTCAGTCTCAGTCTGCAGTAAAGAAAACATAGATTTAGAAGCACTAAGGTATGTCCTGGAAAGGTAATTTGCTATTCTGTTTACCGTTTAATAGCAGAAGGTATTCATGTTGAAACTCATATTCAAATATGAGACCAGATATTCAGGTTTTTCAAAAGTTTTAATAATATTTATACACTATGATATGTAAAGATGGACACAGAATTAAGTATGGCAATACATGTTGTATTTCAAATATGTATTGTGATAAATATTAAACTGGGAGAAAGGCACATCATTTAATGCCATTCATGTTAGCTTGACTGTCAAAATATATACAGATTGTGGCAGATGTTGTTATCCTATGATCAGGATATAATTATTTACTAGTCACTCTGATATAACTGTATCATTGCTGACTGAACATAAATCAATTACAACACGGCAGAATACAACTATTTATTACCCACGTGGTCAACGTATGGGTAGTTGCATACTAATCTCGTACGTCACACGAGTGTCGTATCACATTGACCTGTGTCGTAACGACTTGATCTGAGATTCTAACGATTTGATTGGATAACCGATGACCTCTCAATTAGGTCACATTCTGACGTAACTATTTTTTCATTCTTAACAAACACGTGAATTCATTCATTCTACAACTTAAATGCATTGTGGGAATGTACACATTGCGAACGTTGCTGTGTCACTGTTTAATTGTGAGTCGAACTGAGACATTATATCCATCGAAAAACATAAACGCAATGTTTCCACCAGTGATGTTAGCCGAATGAAGCAACTGCAAACCAAGAAACGGGGTGCTACGGAGTAGTTTACTGTAGGAGGCTGTACGAGGCGATGACAACTGACATGCATCGTTACGTCGGTTACCAAGGCAGTGACGTCATTACAGTGTAACGTCATGCAAATATTGTACTACAGTACAAAACTCTTCCGCAACCTCTTTATGAAACCTGTTTCGGTTTGAAACCAAAAAATAACAAAAATACGCTATTTTGTCAATTTAATGCATGTAAGAAGTGGGTAATAAATAAAATACCACACTCGGTCTCATTACATACGAATTATATGAAACTCATGACCTCCCTATGTTATCTGACCTTGCTTTCGCTCGGTCAAATACCATAGGAAGGACACTCATTTCGTATAATTCGTATGTAATGAGACCTCGTGTAGTATTCTCTATTTACCTGTCATTGTAATATAACTTATTTTGAAGACTGAAACAATACAATAACAACCGCCTTGTTGATCAGAATCACAGAGCTCTAGTTGCTAATCAGTAATTGCAGTAATAGAGCCTAAATCGTGTTTTTGAGTGTGTAGAGTCTCTTTCTTTAGCTCAACACCTTTCATATCCGGCAGGGATTACCTATGCTGCCTTATGTTTCAGCTGCCACCTGGGAATTCTTTTATTTGCTTAAAGGCAACACTTTGTAAACAAAACATACATCTATCATGCAACCTATGTCTGACTAAGGAGCCAGCCCCTCGGTTAAGAGGGTTCAGATATCTGAAACCCTCACTTCCGAAGGTTCAAAACTTCTTTCAGTGTCAAGAAGGTGAAAATGATATATTTGTAAATGTCAAGAGAGTTCACATGACTTTTACAGAAATGTTTACATACCTGCAGTGTGTGATAATTGCTTGTCTTAGCAATGTTAAGATTTCAAGCCCTCTGTGCTATGACATTATACACATGCACTATATGGTTAGAGATGCTGGTTCACATTTTCCTTTGATTTTTTATTAAATGGTTACAGATAGAAGTTCGGACTGTTATGGTACTCACCGACAACAGTTACAGGACTATATTCTGTGAATCTTTAGGTAGAGCACCTTCATCATGCATTAGGGCTGGGACAGGGTAATGAGTTGGACCCGGGTACTTGTCTCAATACCCGGACCTGTTGTGATTATGTGACTAATAGATTAAACAATGTAATATGTTATTCTTTCATGATAGGTTGTGTTGTCTTTGAAGATTTAGACATAATTTACAGTCAGGCCAGACCAATTTTATTTCTTGTTTTACTGATCTGCCGGTCATATTTATTCAAGAAAAAGAAAAAAAAATTAAAAATTTTCCCTGCTCAAAAAATAACAAAAATCTCCAAAACAAGAAATAAAATAGGTCTGGTCTCACCTGTTTTGAATATAATACATGATTAAGATATTGAATAACTGGAAATCTAAGCCTCTGAGCTGAAGAATAATATTTTGCCATTTCTTACAAATTTGATGCCAGGAATTAACATGACGGGTATCAGCTTAGGGTAGGGTATAGGGGGTGGGGTACCCAGGTAGAAATTTTTTGTCCAATATACAAATTGCAAATGGGGAATGAAGGAGACTGTTCTGGAGGAGTGTGTTTGTTAACGTAGGATATTCGCGTGTTTTGTTTCTGAAATATGACCATTCGTGCAAATGTAATTGTGACTTCGCGGAAGTTTTCACTGGATGAAACACTTGGAGTAGAAATTGCATGGTGTGTTTTCGATAGCACTTTTTAAGATAGCTGTTAGAACTTCATTCTTGTGTCCTTTCAATGACCTCTCTAAGTTAAATTAGTATGAAAACTTGACTGGTGAGTGGTCATTACATTACATTAAAATTAGAAGTCGCCAGCTGATAAATCGTATTTGCAAAGCCTATCGTTATTTTTTCCCTTGTACTCACAATAGCTTATATCATTATGAACCGACTTTATCCATTTGTGCAAAATGAAATAGAATTAAAAGTGATCACAGATTTGTCATTGTGTTGAAAGTTTATTTCATAGAACACTGCATAACAGAGACATTTAAGCTCAGCTTGTGTAGTAGAACAACATTTAGTCCCAGAAATAAAGGTATCACATTTTCTACAAAACACAACATAGAATACAGATGGAGCCCAGGACAAGGCCTAATTGCTGGAGCTAGAAATGAGGCATGCTAGACTGGAGATGATTTTCTTTTTAAATTTATTCTCTTTGGTCTTGTGTAAAGATTACTATGATGGCATTTATAATGTTGTGTATTTTAACAATGATAATACATGGTTAACTTAACAATGTATTAATCCCAGCTGTTGATGTATTTATTAGTGTATCTCACAGCATTTACTCTGAAATATCTTTTTAAAATTGTTTGCTATTTTCTGGACACTAACAAATAATCATTAATTTGTATTTGTTGGATAATACTTTACCAAAGTCTGTATGAAATGCCTGTAAAAAATTTAAATTTAAATGAAATTTGTTCTCATAACATGGCCTTTAAGATGATTACTTTAAAACATAAACATTATTGTTACAATACAATGTTAAATTACATTGATATTATAATAAATTTACTAATTTCCATTTTTTCCCAATGTTGTTGTAAAAGGTCATAAGTTTGCATGATACAGAATTGTGGGCATTATAAAATTTTCCATAACATACTCAGGAAAACAAGGTTGAGTTGGAACGAAAGGTATCTCTCTCTGTTGACAGGGTATGACTGAAAGTGTAATACAAGCATTACAGATGTGAATATCTTATCCAGCTCGTTTTACAGGTTTGCTGTCAACTGGGATATAAACACATATATTGTGCCATGTGGTTACGGTCTGTATTGCACATGTGGTGGGAACCATTGTTTCACATAGCTTTGGTATCCCCCCAAATGACTTTGATTAATATCAGAGGGTTATGTAATCTGTATGTTTGTCACATGTAGTGCGCTTTTTAAGCCTCCATTCAGGAGTGGGGATGTTTTTCTTCAATGTCTTACACAGAAGATGAATGATCACAGAATTCCTTCCGTCAACTTCTGTTTAATGATTCATGTGCTGCATGAGGTCTTGGCACTTTGGGCAGAGATGAAGGCTGTTTTTGTACTGATTGCCAGTTTGTGTGTTGTTGTTTTTGAACAGAAAAATATGTGTGAGGAACAATTTTTTTATGAGTCAAAAGAATTTTTTTGTGGGGGAGTGTTACACCTTATATTTGTTGAAAACTCACTCTTAAATGATGCTGTGAAAAGGAGCATTTGAGATTAAAAGACTTTTTAACAAATGAATAGTGTTACACCTATATTTTTCAGGGATGATATGAAAAATGTCTCGTGTAGATTCCCTAAAATGCAGATTTCTCAGCTGCCCATGATGTTTTGGTGATGGAACCAAGTTAATGAAATGTCCAAAGTGATAAATTGGTTGAGTACATGTCATCTTGATGCAGTGTTCATGATGTCAGTCAAAGGATTGTCTGGCCCAGGTCAGATTATTTACATACCCATGAAGGTCCGGGTTAGAATGAGCCTTCAGCAACCCATGCTTGTCGTAAGAGGCGACTAACGGGATCGGGTGGTCAGGCTCGCTGGCTTGGTTGACACATGTCATCGGTTCCCAATTGCGCAGATCGATGCTCATGCTGTTGATCACTGGATTGTCTGGTCCAGACTCAATTATTTACAGACCGCCGCCATATAGCTGGAATATTGCTGAATGCGGCGTAACACTAAACTCACTCAAGATTATTTACAGACTGCCTTCACGGAGCAGGAATATTGCTGAGTGAAGTGTTCAACAACAGACAACAAGCTGACCAACATGTGATAACAACCCTTATCTTGTTGCAGGTCCATGCATAACTATCTGCGTATCACCCGGATCTTGAAGTCACTGGGAGAACTTGGCTTTGAACATTTGAAAGCTCCCTTTGTGCGTTTCATGCTGAAGGAAGCTCTGGAGCGGAAGACCCTGGAGAATACAATTGACAGTTGCTACAACTACTGGATAGAGACCATTAAGGACGACGAGATCAGGGAAGAACTGCGAGACTTTGCAGATAACATCATTTGCTCTGATTCATAAAAAACGTATCTTGTCATATTTGAAAGTTAGGAGGGTTTTCACAAATACACTCATTTTGAATAAAATTGTTCTCGGAAGGGGTAGATGATGTTCTCCTTGTAAGAGGAGTACCCAGAAGGACATTCAAAAAACGCCTCTGAATACTGCTAGCATAATTCAACAGCTATTCATTGACTGGCAGATAAGATTCCTGAAACACACAGAGTTGCTCATGTCAAAAGTTTTGAAAAGATTTTTATGATTATTGAATCAAATCAGATCAATTTGTACACATTGTTAAAAAGATCATGTTTATTTGCCCAACTGCTATTTCATTAATTTTTTTAATAGTTGGCAATATTTTATTTTTTTTAAATATATTGTTTTGAATTTTCATAATCGAAAATTGGCAGTAAATTCTAGATTTTCTGAAGGTGTTCAGCTTGAAATATCAATGACATAGAGGCTCAGTTTTACAAATATTTGAAACTTATTCAAAATTATTTTGAGTCCCTTGATTTCTAAAGTGTTCTGTGTCCGATTATTGGGATGTAAACATGATTCCAGGTGAGAACCTGTCCACACATATCACAAGCAATTTTTAAGAGATGCTAATTATTCCTCCACTTTACAAACTATGATTATCACTGATTTTTTATTTCCATGTAGATTGTGCTGTGTGTTACCTATTTACCTGTACTATTTATCAGCTGCTTTGAATTAATAACTTTGTGGTTTGTGTCTAGTAAGTGACAGTTGGCATTGATACCTCTAATTGTTTGGTCGGCATTCGAGAAGTTGGTGAGTCAAGAATGAAACATATCAACTTTATGGATGACAACTTCTTGTTTATTGCATAGAGCGACATTTCAGTGTAGATTCTCTCACCGTTTTCAAGGTAAAGCTTTTAGCTTGATAACGATATAAGAATCTACATCAAAACATCGCTCTATGCAGTAAACAAGAAGTTGTCATCCATAGAGTTGTATGTTTCATTGATTCCTCAAATACAGAACCAAATTCAAATTTGAAAACACTGAAATACTTGCACTGTTGCTGTAAGACACTACATCTATGTAAGTAAACCGTCCATATTTAAGTAGTTTCATTGAGCGTCATGGATAGGCTAGCATTACATATTTTTGTTGGAACCTATTGGCAAGTTTATAATTGGAATAACAGTACATTATTGTGATGCATGTGAATTATGAGTAAGGACTTTCTTGAAGGCACCTGAGAATTTTGGTACTTGGGAGTTTTGTTCAAAGTATTCCCGGATTGTGTGTGATCACATCCAGTTGGCATGGATTGTTGTTCCCCAGCGACCTATGCTTGGTGACAATGGATCACGTGGACAGGCTTCATGACTATTGATTGTGTGTGATCACATCCAGTTGGCATGGATTGTTGTTCCCCAGCGACCTATGCTTAGTGACAATATGCTTGTGTGACAATGGATCACGACAATGGACATGGACAGGCTTCATGACTATTGATTGTGTGTGATCACATCCAGTTGGCATGGATTGTTGTTACCTATGCCCATCCAGTTGGCATGGATTGTTGTTCCCCGAGTTACCTATGCTTGGTGACAATGGATCACGTGGACAAGCTTCATGACTCTATTGATTGTGTGTGATCACATCCAGTTGGCATGGATTGTTGTTCCCCAGCGACCTATGCTTGGTGACAATGGATCACGTGGACAGGCTTCATGACTCTATTGATTGTGTGTGATCACATCCAGTTGGCATGGATTGTTGTTCCCCAGCGACCTATGCTTGGTGACAATGGATCACGTGGACAAGCTTCATGACTATTGATTGTGTGTGATCACATCCAGTTGGCATGGATTGTTGTTCCCCAGCGACCTATGCTTGGTGACAATGGATCACGTGGACAGGCTTCATGACTATTGATTGTGTGTGATCACATCCAGTTGGCATGGATTGTTGTTCCCCAGCGACCTATGCTTGGTGACAATGGATCACGTGGACAGGCTTCATGACTATTGATTGTGTGTGATCACATCCAGTTGGCATGGATTGTTGTTCACAGTCTCAGTCACTGGATTATCTGGTCCAAACTAGACTACCAAAGAGCTGTATTATTGCTAAGAAACTTGCACACACATACGCCCTCACACATGCACACACATACTCCCTAAAACACGTGCTCGCAATGAAGAAGTTATTCAAGAGAATGCAGGAAAATACTATGTTACTTTAATATGTCGATTTCTAAATAGAATTTCAATTAACTTAATAAAAACTTGCAAATGTTTACATGAAGGAAATGGTTTGAAATGAACAAACAAACAAGAAATGCTATGCAGTTACAGGGCTTGATTTAGACTCCAGACAAAAACAGGTTGCAACTGCTGCTCAAAATATGATTATATTATTATATAATTTATTATATAGTTTTGGTATTGATGATTTAGAAAATTATAGCAAACTTTTTCTTGGTCTGATAAGATAGTTTTATCTTACTTGATAAGATTTCATGACATGGAAAGTAGCAGTCATTCAGTCACTGTCCATGTAGTCATCGGAGTCGCTGCTTTCAGTTTGTTCCTAATTATGCTGCTGTTGTTGTAATGTGAGATGAGAGTGGCACGTGCCTCCCCCTGTGGATATATTAGAAAACGTCTAGGCGTTTCCATACAGCGTATCCATGTGCTGGATAGGTCTGTGCTGTTCTAGAAGCTTCCAGATTACGCTTGCTCCATGTCTAAATATAGTAACAAGAACACCACTGTCCCCCCAGCATGCATCAGTGTGCAGTGTGTTCTGATAATGAACTGCTTTCTTATAGAGACAAGTATCAATGAGGCATTTTCTTCATGTCATGACTTGAATATGACGTATCATGATAGGTATTGTATCGTGACCTTGCTGTATCATTTCAACCTTTGTACTCATTATATACATAGCTGTAAATTTACGTATATTAGACTCCCAATCATAATACTTCACAGACCAGCACACACGGAGTGAGCAGCACATCTCAATAAGTGTCAGACAGCCAAGCTGATGGTTGCTTGTGTTTCCCATCTAGATTGCTTCTGTAAAGTCCTGCCATGCCTGTTGTCACTTCAGATTTGAAGACAAAATGACATTTGCAAACAAGGAAAGAAACGTTTGTTCATATAAGTGTATTTTTTCTATAAAATAACAGTTAGTATTTTCATTGGTTTGGAGCTCAAACAATTCCCGTGCTTTAAACTGTGAATTGTACATGCTAGTCTGCAGTATGAAGAGTTGACCAAGATATTGGATCAGTAGTAGTAATTTGAACTACTCTTTCCAGGATGTTGGTCAAGGTTGTCACCTCAGTGCTTTGTGATCATCGGCCACATCAAGCTAACAATGACGTCATATGATTGAAATACTGTTTAGACCAAGCCTGCTAACTCACTCACTCACTCACCAGCAACTTCAGCAAAGACATATCTGTAGTCATTATTGCACCATTATACACATTTTCTGAAAATCTAGAAATAATGTTACAAAAGTATTTGTGTCTGAAGTTGCTTATAAAAGATACATTTGGAGGAAGGAAGAAATAGAATTAATGAATTCAAATCGTGCTATGTAAGATTGTACATACATGTAATGTGTGTGAAGAGTTATTTTCTAAAATGGCTGTACATGTTTTTTGCGTCTCCACATCAGTTGCTTCCCTCAGATGTATCAGAATCCCATGATCATGGGTTTGAATCCCCCTAAACTTTTTGTTATGGTTTGTCTGCACCAGACCTGTTTGTAAACTATCACCTGTAACTTTTCATGCTTTCCTCCTTCATAAAGGTGACACTGAAGCCCAGGACACATCAGTGCTGTACTGGGCAGTTGGGTAGCCTTATGGGTAAACCATTCACTTTCAATTCTCCCAATCAGTACAATGTGCAGCCCATTTTTAGTGTCAGTGCTGTGATATTGCTGGAATATTCCTAAAAGCGGCATAAAACCATTCTTGCTCCCTCACTCATGTACTTATTCTCCAAGGCTGGGCTATCATGTTGAACTGTTATATACCCCTTACATGAGGAGGCTGTTCATTAGTGTAAAATGTTGCATCATATATACAGAACAACTATCATCATTATAACAGTATAAAAATATATGTTTTATTTTCTGGTGTCTTGTTTCGTTAGGTTAGTTGTCCTTCAAGTGATGGAAGAGTGATCCTATATTATATGGCAAGAGTATAGTTTGTTGTATTGTTTTATTTTGTTACCGGGCAGTGGGGTAGCCTAGTGGTTAAAGAGTCCGCTCATCACGCCGAAGACCCGGGTTCGATTCTCCACATGGGTACAATGTGTGAAGCCCATTTCTGGTGTCTCCGCCATGATATTGCTGGAAAATTGCTAAAAGCGGCTTAAACCATAATCACTCACTCACTATTTTGTTACCATAGGTCCAACAGCATCTCTACCAAATATCTAATAGGAGCTCCAGAATACATTGTTCTTTTGATAGGAAAGTGAGAAAATCCTGAAATGATATTCATGATAATTCTGAAAGTTTTGTTTTGCATTAATTTTTTATGAGAGCTGACATTGATAAGAAATAGAGTTTGTGTTTGTTTCTGTAGACAAATATTGAACTGTACGTTAATGTAAACGTTCAATATCACCTTAATGATGAAGGACTTTGCAGAGGAATAAATTTCGTATCTCCTACCTATGTAGGAAGAGGGTAATCTTGACAAGCTGACAGCTCCAGTTGAATGCCAACAGGTTTCAGTGTGTGAAGGCTATTTTGGTTGTAGGCCACATCGTGGCTAGGATATTGTTAAAAGCAATGTAATGCCCAACACTCACCTGTTCTCAGAGATAATCCAAGCATAACACTTTCTGGTGTTTAATTTTTCCGTAATTGTCAAAAGTGTCCATGGCATCTTTGTCAGTAGTGATAGTCACAGTATTCTACTTTATTTGAGTTTAGTAGGTTTCTATTTTTTCACTTTCCTTTTTAACAGGTAGAATTCATTTGCATATTTTTCAATGTAGAAAGTCCTCAGTTTTGAGAAGTGAGAACAGCTAACAAGAATCATTACAATATTGACTGGAGGATTGTGGGGCATTGTGTCAACCAGTAGAATACCTTGCCCCTATTAGATTACTCTATATTACCATAGACAAGCTGATTTTTGAGGACCAAATCTGTTGAAGGGGGCGGCTTTAGGGTTACCAGTGAGAAAACAACATTGTGTCTCTCGTGTGAACAAACAAGAAAAGACAACTTTGTCAGTAAAGATGTCAAATTTGCAATAAACACCACCAGACAAGATTATTTACCTTATAAGTTTTAATTTGTTTTTGCTAGGCATTGTCTTATATGCATGAATTAAGATTATCATGTATTTATCTCGTATACAGAGCTGGAAATAGTATTTAAGGGCCTTCATATAGCTGTAACATTGCTGATTGGGACTTGAGACAACTTTTGTTCACCCATTAGGTTGTGAATTAATTTCACTTATATGACATTGTCAAATCTACTTTGAAAGTGTGTGAAATAAATCCACATGATTGTCAACTCACCACAGATGGCTGCAAAATTGATGATGCAGCATGAAGCAATATTTACTCACTTGATTCTCAATTACCTCACATGGTGCCTTCAAATTATACGTTTGATCCTGCAAATTTCTATGATTTCAAGAGCCCTGATATTGCTCTTGCTTTTTCAAACATGAGCATGCACATCTCAGGTGCTGCCTTTGGACACATTCATAACAAATTTACTGAACTTTAGAATATGAACAAAAAATAGTTAGTGTGACAATTACCTATTGACTTGTCTTTTGTCTTACTTTGTATATAATTGTTTTGAATGAAATGAGTAGTGATTCCACAATGTACATATGGTATTTATGAGCATAATTCCTAATAAAGTTTCACATCTAGCAATCATATTATGTTTTGTGTGCCTTATCAAGCTTTCCTTAAATTAATCTACATTATATCTGACTTGTGTCCTGCCTAGTGAATTGTCCCAATCTGGAACTGAGTCCATATCTGGCCCTTGGATGTGCCCAATCTACAACTGAGCCAAGATCGGGTCAAGTGATGTGCCCAATCTGGAATTGTTCCCATATCTGGTCAGTGGACATGCCCAATCTGGAATTGTGCCCATATCTGGTCTGTGGACATGCCCAATCTGGAATTGTGCCCATATCTGGTCTGTAGACATGCCCAATCTGGAATGTGCCCATATCTGGTCAGTGTTTGTGCCCAATATTGAACTGAGCTCAGATCTGATGTTTGATATGCCAGATCGTAAGGTGAGTCAGGTCTGATCAGATATCCCAAATCTTTACCTAACCAAGACCTTGTGAGGTATGTGCCCAGTCTACTTGAGGTTTTTAAGTTGAGTGATAATAAAGTATTGGTCAAATACCTCAGTTAATCAATCCTTGGGTTTGGCAAAACTCTTGGTGAGAGGTTAATAGATGCTTCCAATTTTATAGATGAGAGCAAAGGCTGACGACAACAACCCATTCCCAGGTGCACAAAACTAAGTTAGTAGAAAAGCCCAGTGGTTAAAGCATTCATTTGTCACACTGAAGACCTGGGTTCGATTCCCACATGGATACAATGTGTGAAGTCCATTTCTGGTGTCTTCAGCCACGATATTGCTGGAATAATGTTAAAAGCGGCGAAAAATCCAGTTCACTCACTCACTTTATGTCAGTTCACCTTACATTCACTGTGCCCCAAGCTTCAAGACCCTTTCTATGTGCTCAGTCCGAACAGTCAAGACTTGAGTTGGTGTTGAGTTCACTATTCTTCACCAACACAACTGCAATGTCAGTCTGGCATGCCACTTGTGGGGATCAGCATTAAATCCTAATAGCTGGGATCGTTTACGTCATTAATCATGTTCAGAATGGTGTTTGAGTTTGAGAGTTCCCGACTCTTCATTTTATGGAACTGTAATCAACCAACAAGGTGATAAACCTGACTCACTAATCAAGAATGCTGGTCCTGTAATGCTTCACAAATCTCAACACATTAATAAACAATACCCATGAAAAGGGGTGGTCAAGTCCATCTTCACTAAAGCCCTGTGAAAGGATCAGCAACATTGCTGAGATACCACAGGTAATCTACTACAAGAATAGGTCGATGTGTTATCAGAGTTAGCTCAGTGGTGCTATCAGGAGCGTGCATAAACTACACCAGTGGGTGATGGGGCAACGC